GGCCCCCAAAAGTTTATTATTTAAAAAACAAACATGATGGTGAGACAGCTCTGATGATTTTACCATCGGTCCTCAGGAAATAGATGCACAAATGTCTTGATGCATAGTTTGGTGTCTGATGATGTTTGCTTTAAATTAAGTTTTGGCTTTTGGTTTTGAGACAAGGTATGTATTCCAGGCTAGCCTTGACCTCACTACATAGCCCAGGGTGCAGCAACCAAGTGCTGGGATTACAACGTACCACCACCTGGCCTGTGATGGTGAGTCTCGACTTCAATTTGACTGGCTTGAGAGACCCTTGGAAGACCAGTAAGGCACACTTGGGAGGACTGGGAGGGTGACCGTGGGGCCATGGCTGGTCGCTGGCCTCTTCCTCTCCAGCTCCTTCCTGCCCCATGAAAACGAATAGCTTTCCTCATCCACCCCTTTTTGCCATGAGGCTTCTACGGTGGAGCAACTGGCCGTGGACTGCACCTTCTCACACTGCGAGCCAAGCTCAGCCTTTCCCCTCTGGGTGGGGCGGGGTATTTCGCCCTAGCAGTGAAAGACCCTGGGAGACATTCCTGTGCTAATTCCTGTGTTAATCTGCAGTTTCCAGGCGAGTGAAGGGAACGGAGGCACAGAGGGTTGGTGTTTGCTGTCCCAAGTCCCACAGCACCTCCAGTGACAGAAGGTAGAGCCGGAGCCCAGGGGAATGGGTGCCCATGCCCGGTAGGTGCTGTGTGAGGAACAAGGAGCGCTATTTGCCTCCTACCCTGCTAGGCCGAACTGAGACAGGCATCACATCTTAGAGCAATGCTGCTGTCTTGCGCCCGAGGCCCAGGGGTTCACAGCGAGCCTCGCCACGTGGCAGCAGCACAGCCCAGAGCGCCCGGTGCCAGCCCTGAGGCTGGGCACAGCCACTCCGACCTCGTAGGCGCCCCAGGCCATCTCCTGCTCTGACCCAGGCACCAGGATTAAAATTTGGAAAGCTGAGACACAGAAAAACATCTTTACACAGCTAGAACTGCACCTCATCTATAGAGAAACAGACTGTGAACGGATGAAATTTCACCTCAAACCAGAAAGGCCAGAGAACGGCCGACAGCTTCCAAGTGTTGGAAAAGAGAAGGGTTTCCTGTCTGGCGATGATGTGGCCTTCAGAAATGAAAGAGGAATGAAGATATTCTCAGAGGAATGGAAACTTAACAGAATTTGCCGTCAGCAATCCCACCCTTAAAAAATACACATGGTAGCGGGGCATGGTGGCACAGGCCAGGCCTGTCATTCACCATTCCGGAGGCTGAGGCAGGAGGACCACCACAAGCTCAAGGTTAGCCTGGGCTACACAGAGACCCTATCTGTGCTGGATTAAGTATGGCCAACAACTGAACTCAAGGGAGAAGGAGCCTTGGCCGTGCTGGAGCCTCCAGTCTGGCTATGAGAAGCTCTCCAGACCCTGCAAAGGTAGGGGATAAGGACCAGGAACCTGGTGAGCTTGGCTCTGCCCAAACACTGCCAGCTCCCAGCAGGCAAGGCTGTCCGGGGCCCGCGGTGAGCCTGGCAGAACGATGCCCCTCTGTGATCACGGAGACATGCAGGGGTCACTGGAGAGCGGGTCAGGGCAGAGGCCACCCACTCACCTCCACTGCCAAGGACACTGCTGCCTGCTGCTGAAGGGGCTCCTGGGAGTGTGTCACTGTGGTGGGCTGTCAACCAGCAGTCACCTCCTCATACCCAGCGGACTGAGGCAGCGTGGTGCTGGTTGTGGAGGGCCCGCCTGAGCCGCTGCCAGCACCACCAAAGAACTAGGGAAGATGGTGCTGCCGGCTCTCCTGGAGCAGCTTGCCGTGCCGGCTTTCCTGATACAAACTTGGCTGTTCTCGTCGCCGTGGTGCTTTGTGCGGAGCTCTGGTCCTCCCTTGAGCGTCGCTTCCTGGCTCCAGGGCAGACCCTCAGCCTGCTGGCAGACTTTCCAGCTTCCACAGCTGACCTTGGCCTTGGGCCTTCCCAACACAGATCCGTGGAAGACTCGCAGGAGACAGTTGGGGCTCCAGGCCCAGCCGGGCTCCTGCAGGACACTGCTGTGGGATCCAGGCCCCCCGCTGGATTCTTTGGGTCTCTAGTGTGTGAGTGGACCTCTTGCTCTCCTCTGCACCTGGCTCTTCGGGTTACTATTATGAAATAATCCTATAAATTATGTGTCCTTTGTTAAAGTCACCAAGGTACTGATGCACACTGCCAGGAACTCTGGGCTGAGAGGGTGCCACGGGTTGTGCCTAGCCGTCTCCCCAAAGCCTCATGCAGTCATGGGGCAGCTTCTTGATCCAATGCTGGGATTATGAGTGTGAGCACCACACTGGCCCTGGGGCAGATGATCTGCGTTACAATGTAAGGAGGGAGAGGCTGGTTAGCAGCCTTGACAGCTGCTCCTCCCTTTGCTCCTTGCTGTTTCCTGCCACCATGAACAACTGCGCTCTGCCTTGGAGCCGGCCAAATATGGACTGAAACCTCCACTAACTGTGAGCTGAATAAACCTTTCCTTCCTTAATTTTGGGTGTTGGGTGTTTTGTCCCAGCAATGAGAGAAAAGTAACCAAGAGAGAGGGCAACACAGCATCCCACCTTTCCACTGTCTAGGGGTGCAACGTGGCCCTGTGATGCCCACGGTGGATCTGCCCAGCCTCCAAGGCAAGTACAGTGAACAGCCACAGGATGAGGCTAGCTGCGGAGGCTGTCCTTGCTGCCCTCAGCAGAGCTGACCAAGCCAGTGGCAGGGGCTGCGCTCAAGGCCAGGGCAGCAGGCGGCAGTGTCCTCACTTCAGAGGGCTTCACAGGAATGAAGCTCGGGAACATGGACGATTATGATCTTACTCTTTCACAGCAAGTGATAAATGGTAACTTGCTTTTGTAAAAGGCATCAAAGAATACTGGGCTACAGCCATCCATCTCACAGACAAGAGCCTCAATGAGGAGTCTTTTTAAAGAAACACTATGATACAGCTTGTTATGGTTTGTGTCTAGTTGTCCCCCCAAAGCCTCCAGAGTCAGGGGGCAGCTTCTGGAGTTTGTGATTATTGTGGGTTTGGATGCTGCACCTGCCCTGGGTAATTTGCATTAAAATGTAAGCAGGGATGCGGGGCTGGCTAGCTGCCTGAGCTGCCCCACCTTTGCTCTCTGCCTTGGAGTTAGCGGAGTATGGACTGAAACCTCCAGTAACTGTGAGCTAAATAAGCCTTTCCTTCCTTAGTTTTGAGTGTCAGGTAGTTGTCCGAGCAACAAGAGTAGAGTAACTGAGACACAACTTTTTTTTTTTTTTTTTTTTTTTTTAATGTATTTGCAGTTTAGACTCACAGTGATCCTCCTGTTTTGAGCCTCCCCAGCACTGGGATTACAGGAGTGCGCCACCATGGCTGGATTTGGTGGCCAGCTCAGTGCGCCAGGGGTCGGGGCCGGCACAGCCCGTGGTACCAGGGATCAAACCCTGAACCCTGAGCTTGTCTAAGCAGGTGCTTAGCTGCTGAGCTATCTCACCGGCCCTTGTTACACAGCTTTTAAACAAAGTTTTATTAAATAAATCTAAGAATGACACACCGTTTATTAAACAAGTCAGAAACGGCCACACACAAGTCCCACAGGACCATGAAGTGACACGTGAAGAGGAAAGAAGACCTGTCAGTCCACACAAAAATACAGCCAGTAAGAAGAGCATGAGGTCACGCTGAGTGCGCTGTGCACACGTGTGTGAGTATGCGTGGGGGCACATGCCAGCACAGGCCCACACCGAGCCAGCCCAGGCCACCACGTGCCCTCCTGGGCTTCCTCAGGGAACCCTGTTCTGTGCTTCAGCAGTGTCAGGGGTTCTGGGAGAGCAGAGGATGTGGCCTCCCGCACTCCTCTCAGCATCCATGCCTGGCGCTTGCGGGCTGAGCCTGGATCCCAGGTCAGTGTCCACAGGACTGCAGTCCCTTCTATGTTATGACTTAGAAACAGCCTATACACTTCTGACAGACAAACAGACCGACCCTGAAGCTCTGCTGCGACTCTAGGACTCAATGGCCAGGCCTAGCAGCGCAGGCCTGGGAGCCTGGCGCCCAGGAGGCCGAGGCAGGAGGACAAGCCTGGGCTGCAAAGCACATTCGACTCCAGCCTGGATTACTAGAGAGACCCTGTGTCAAAACACAAACGAACAAGACTGCCTGTCTCCTACTGTTGATAAGGAAGACTATGCAAACCTATCGGCTCACATCCCGTCGCCACTCAAGCTCAGGACAGCGAGGCACACGCCCACTAGAGGGAGCAGCGCCTATTCGCCTCTGCTTCCTGGGCTCCTCACACAGAAGACGGTTGTCTCTTCCCTTTCAGCCTTGGCACTGTCAAGGAAACCCTTACGCCACGACGGGGCCGTGACACCTGCCCCAGGTTCCGCAGCTGATGGCTCACATGGAGTGATCTACACAGCCCCAAGGCCCAGCTGCCCCACACAGAGGCCTTCTCTGTCAGAAAGCACGCTGTCAAAACCCTGTGGAAGGCAGCTAACAGAGCAGCCTCGGCGCAGCAGAGCCTGCACCGCAGAACGCCCGCTGGGAGCACTGACGGGACCCCACCCCGCAGGGCACTGCTGCTCAGAGCTGAAGCCGGGCAGTGACTCCACGGCAGGCTGAATGGGAGGTCAGGGGAGTCCTCAGGGGAAGGGCTTGGGCGTTAGCAGCTTCCAAGCTGAGGGAAGAAGCATAAAGACCATGCTGATCCTGGGCAAGGTGGGTTAGGAGCGAGCGGCGGCTGACCTCGAGAGCTCCGGGATCCACCACAGCCCTCACCGGGTCGGCGGAGCGTCCTGACACGCACAAGAGCCAGGCACTCCCGACTCCCGCCGTGCTGCCGCCCTGCTGACTAGAGTGCAGATTCTCCCCGTGGGGTGACTGAGCGCTGCTCCCAGGACCCAGCTGTCAGGTGAGCTGCTTGCTCAATGCAGAGGTGCAGAGAGTGCATCCAGCATGCAGGACAAAGACACGCTCCAAGCACACTCCAACTCTGCTTTTATTGGAGTCACTCTTACATGCGGGACTGTGAGTGACAAAACACAGAACTCCAGGGCCACGCTGCGCCGACAGCACGATCGGCAGAGATCCCGGTGCTGCCTGCATACAAGGGCCCAGAGCAGAGCAGGACAGCGAGGCTTGTGGGCCAGACGCACAGACGTGCGTGCGAGGCGGCGGCTTGCAGTGCACACTGCGCGCCTGGGTCCCGAGTCCCAACGGCTGCTGGCTGGGAATGTCGTCAGGCGCTGACTCTTCGTGGCATCAGACTGCAATTAAGACTGGACACCTGGGCACATCACGTACCGTTTCTTCCTAAACATTTACGGGTACAGCTGTGTTTTCCGAAATGTTTCGTTAGTAATACTCAGTCTTATCAGCCTGGTTCCGTAATAGTCTATGATGTAACTACTTCCATCTGAAGGTCCAACAATCTAGAAGAGAGAAACTGCAGTTACTCATTTTACAAAACATCATGTATAATTCTTTGAGTCTACTCTTCTCGGTTTATAAAATTATTTCAGTAGCTACAGAACCCAGCCCTAAATTAAGTGCGAAAAGTAAGTAGAAAGCAATCAGTGGCTCTGCAGGTGGCGGGGTCCGTGACGTAGCTCTGCATCTGCATACTCTCCACACAGCCCAAGCTCCTGCCAGGGTTCAGTGCCCACTGGTACCCAGGAGACCACACCGCAGGGCGCAGCGGCATCTGGGTGCCAGGCCAGCTCCCTGCAGGAGACCACAAAAGGACCGGCCATCCCTTGATGGGTGGAAAGGACCAGAGACAACTCACTGCAAGCATCCTGCCTGCTAAGCCCACGAGTGACAGTCCCCTGAGTGTGACTCCTCAATGCCTCCTTTAGGGTATTTCTAGCTACTGTGTTCTAGCACTCTATAAATGGGTCTGCCCAAGGCAAGTGTAGTAGTACATGCCTGTAGCCCCAGTCACTCCACAGGCTGGGGCAAGAGGGTCTCAAATCCAAGGCCAGCCTGAGTAGCTCAGCAAGATCCTGCCTCAAATAACAAGGGCTGGGTACTCAGCCCAGGGGCTCTCAACCCCCAGCACCCAAGAGAAAGAGGAGCAAGCAGAAAGCACCCAGCGTCCCGACACTGTCTCAATGTCAAGCTGTGGTGCAGTGGGAGCAGCCCCCCTGCTCAGGGTGTCACACACCTGGTGACAGTGCTGTGCCCTCCCTTCAGGGCTGCCCAAGCCTCCAGTGAGGAGGAGGCTGACAGCACCACACCCAGCCACTCCACTTTTCTTGGATTCCTAACCTGGGCTGTGCTGATCAACCCTATCACCAACAATGACAAACCAGAAGTCACAGGCAGGCTTTAATAATGCAACTAACGAATAAGGTGATTAACAGGTTTATAAGCACAAAGATAAAGTATATTAGGATAAAATTCAGGAGAAGAGTACAAATGAAAATTCAAGGAGAAAAAGAAGCAATATCAGACTTACAAATGGTTTGTGTAAAACTCATTCATGTCTTTTTTAAGTAGATGGTATTTAAAACCTTGTGGTATTTAGTCTTTTGGATACAAGTAGAAATTGATGTAACAGTTTTATCTAAATATGCCAATATTTGAAATTACATCCTGTGCACTATTGAAGCTCATGACAGGAAATGCAAATGTCAGTGCTTACTACTGACTTAAAAACTTTCTCTCAGAAATAGAAGGGCTGCAAGGACAGCCAACGTTTTGGCCCTAGCCTTTCAAGGTCAGTGAAGACTCAGGACATTTTGTACTGTAACATCAGGTAGCTCAGTTGTGTCCCAAATTTTCTGATCAAGGAGATTACAGGGCCACAGAGTAATGATCGATGATGTAGAGCGTGCCTAAGGAGAGTCACATGGAGAGAAAACACTCTCTCAGGCTTTCACAGAGAGCAAATTGGCCAAGCAATGGCCATGACTCATCCACATGGCTGACACTGACGAGGGATCTACAAAGTGCGGTACAGGGTTACAGGATCAATCCTGAGGGGACTTGGCTGACCTTATCAGATATAGAAGTTACATTTCTTGGTATACAGGTCTTGCTTTATCTTGGTCTTAACCATCCAGCAGAAAAGCGAGATATATAAAGTATGCTGAGCTGTGAAAGGCTCAAGTCAACCACTTCTGTGGACAACCCACTACTATTGTGAACTGCTGGACTATGTTCAACTGTTCTGCTGAATTCACACACCTACAGTATTTAGATGCCAATGGAATACCCACTACTGACAGGACTAAACAAAAAAAGGGATACAAAGGAAGGACCATTTTGTATCTGTATATGCAGAATAGTTAGGATAGATATACAGCTACTTTCGCTTAATTCGAGGAGAAATATTTGTACTAATAGTGTTTGGACAGGATAATCTGTCTGCATCTTGTACTATGGATAACCACTAAGAAGATAACAATATATAATGTATTAATTATTGAAATTGTCCTATTAATCAGTTTTGAAACTATCTCATTGGTATTTGTTTCTCAATAAAATAACATTAAATTAAATTTTTAAAAAACCTTTCTCTCGGGGTTCTACAACTGTGCTCAATAAAACTGCTCTGGAGGGGAACTACCCCCTTGGGGCCCCCTCCTGTCCCTCTCTTGGACAGGAGCTTTCTTTCTCTCAATAAATATATTCTGCTCATAAAAAAAAATTAAAAAAAAACAAAACTTCTCTGGAGATGCTTCCTGTGCAACATGCCCAACAAGCAGCTACACCGGTGTGCACCTGTCAGTGAGCTGCCCAGGAGGCCGAGACAGCAGGACTGCTTGAACCCAGGAGTCTGAGGTCAGGCTAGACAAATGGCAAGACGTAGCAGAACAGAAACAAAACAAAGAACCCCAAAACAACCACTGCACAAATCCCCAGGTGCTATGCCAGCAATTCAGCACAAAACAGAGACCTCTGCCAGCAGGGCGCTGACAATCCCAGCCACACTCGCGCTTCGCCAGGACCTCAGGCAACACCCTGCCCAGGGGACTCCACAAGTCTTCAAGGCTGAGAGGACAGCTAGGAAGAACAGCGCTGCCACCGAGAAGCGTCTGGGCAGCGAGCTTCGCGCTCTCTAGTCCTCTGGGCTCATGCAGACCCTGGACCCAGCGGACCTCCTGGGAGATTTTTGGTTCAATGACCATGACTTAAACCGTGAACACCCCAGCCAAGGCTGCCACCACTTCCACCCTGAGCCTTAGGCCTCTACAGAGTGCCATCGACAGCCACTTTCTATGAACCATTCATTGATGAAAAAAACACCTCCTGTTTAATTTTTAAGAAAAACAGCTTAGAAGCTTTCAACTATTTAAATGCCTATTCTCTCACTAAAATTTTAAAAACCACATGCTTCATTAATGTGCCAATTGCAAAGTCTGTCATTATGAGGATGGTGTTATATTGTTAATTACACAAGTAGAAACACTTGCAAATACCCACACTGGGAAATGTTTTACTTTGAAAATCTATCTGCCTGTGTCCATTTGTATGCTGGCAGCAGAGTATGAAAACCAGGACTGTGAGTTCACTTCTCTGCTAGCTGATACCCTGGTCAGGAGCAGAGCTGTTAGCAGGGGCCAAAACCGTGTTCATCTCCAGCACCAAAAACCCCAACCAAGCAACCATACAAAAAGACTACAAAGCCAAATCCTAAAGTATGAAGCCGGCCAGGCTCCAGGAACCCATGGAAGAATGAAGACCACTCACAGGGTCCCCAGTGGCCCCCTGCACACCGCCAGCACAGCCCCTTATGCAGAAGCCTCAGACTGCAAGGACACGGCATGCACTTCCTTGGGCGTGTGCTGGTCAGCCTCCAAAGGCTGTGCTGACAAGGCCCAGGTTCAGAGCTGAGGTCTGAGGCTGCACAGCCTCGCCACAGGCTACCTCCTGCACCTATGAGGGCATTCCCAGGCCCCCAGCTCAGGGCCAACAGTCACCTACAACTCAGGACACCCTATGACCTCCTGGCTCCGTGAAGTCAATCACAGCAGAGACCTCTTCGTTCTCGTGAAGAGTAACACTGCCGGGCCCCACGGCCTGGACGTGGTGGGCATCTCTCACCTCCCGTATCCTTCCACAGAGGCTTGTGGCAGACTGGGGAAATTCTATCTGCAGGCTGAACAAAACTACTTAAACTGTGTACATGAAGCCTTTTCTACAGCTGCAAAGAAGAGTGCACGTAAACATGTTCAAACACAGAAGAGTCACAGGACTAACGTAAGGTCACCAAACTGCCTCTCCCCACTCTTCAGCCCCAATGCCTAATTTTTTTTTTTCGGAACCAGGGATTGAACTCAGGCCCTTGCGCTTGCCAGGGAAGCGCTGATTCCACTGACACCCCCCCCTCCCCGTGACGCCTAATCTAACTCTCCACAACCACCGCCCGCCCAGCCGCTCCTGGCACTCACCTACTCGGGACAGCACGGCACCTGGACCTTACTCTTTGGACTGCACTGCTCTCTGAATAGACTCTCACTTGCAGTTTATCTGAACAGCTCCATATGTACGGCCATGTTCAATTCACAACCACCTGTGCCCTGATGCCTCCTGGCAGCGCACACCTGCGGCTAGGGCAAGGGCAGGAGAGCGGCAGGGAGGACATGGCTCTCCCCTAGCTCCAGGCCAAACTCCCGCCACCTCTGCAGCTGCCACACTGAGGCACTGTCCCCAGACGGGAGCTAGTGTGAAGGCGTCTGTGCTCAGCAGCCACCCGGTGAACTGCCAGCCACTGAACCACGCTCGTTTACTGCTGGGCTCTGGTATTTTTCTCACAGAAACTGCTCATATCCAGTCTTGTTGCTAGTACCTTTTTACCTTATCTGTTCACTGTAACTTAGTCTACTGAAGCTTTTTAAAAATAGAACTCCTTAATTTAAAGTAGGAAAATTCACTGTTTTTCCTGTGTATGACCCCATACCCTGAGGATCCTCTTTAAGGCTTAACCTTTCCAAGGTCCGGAAGAATCTCTCCCCTCAGGACCCGGGGAGATGGCCCAGTGGAATAAGTGCTTCCCTGGCAAGCACAAGGGCCTGAGTTCAATCCCTGGTTCCAAAAAAAAAAGAATCTCTCCCCTTGCCTCACTCAGGCGCGCCCACCTTCTGGCTGGGAGTGCAGCCCAGGTGCAGCGCCTGCGCAGCATGTGCAAGGCCCTGGGTTTCATCCTCAGCACTGTGAATGCCAACAAGTTCACCTTTTCCTACGTCTCTATCGAAAGAGCTAAAGAAGGACTTAATCACATCTGCACACAAATGATTGTAGTAGCATTATTCACAATAGCCAAAAGGTGGAATCAACTCACATATTCACCAACAGGTAAGTCAGCAAAACGTGGCCCATCCATGCAACGGAGCACGGTCCCACCATGACGAGAAGAGACATTCTGCACGCTGGTGTCCACAAGCTGGAAACCACAGTGCAGACTGGGCCACAGAGGACACACACT